ATGGCTTTGTTTTCAGGCACATTCTTTCCATCTTTGCTTTTCTCCTAACCTACACTCTGAAAATAGAGGTGAGGCGCTTTTTTCACTTTTAGATTGACTTTGCTCGCTTCTCTCAGCACAACACAAGACAGCAGCTGCGTTTTCTGGCACATGATTAGGAGACTGAATTAAATAAACTCATGACACCGTGAAGGATTTCAGTCGAGAACGGGCCCTTGTGAGAGCACAAACATCTCCATAGTGAGATGAAACCATGCCGCGCTACTCCATACGCTGGCATTAAACGGCAGAAACGCGTGCGGATCTAATTTCAGGTCAAAAGACGTGGCCCTGAATATTATGAAAGCAGAAGAAATAGACAGATGGGAGTGATGGAGAGCAGGGGGAATTAAAGCGAGGGCCGGAAAGCTATTTCAGGGATGACGTGTGATGGAGTGACAACTGTTGCCCCCCTCCCCTTTATCCCTTGTCAGCCCCTGCTCTTTTTCTGCCTCTCTCTATCAAATCCCACTCTGCCTCCCTCTCTTAACCTTAGGCCCTTCAGTGCCCAGAACTTTTCCAACCACAGACCCATCTCTCCATCAGCTCTCTGAGTCTTATGATAAATTTAGAACAGTGTTCCCAATGAGCTGTGGCCTGTGTGACACGTGCCACCTCCCAACCACTGCATGGGACCGTATAGTATATAAGGGCCGTGGGTAAAGGGCTGCAAGAGATTGGGGGAAAAGGTTGATACTGCCTTACACAAACCAGAAAAAAAGAATAAATAGACAGACAGAAAAAGAAAGACAGTAAAGGTAGATAGAAGACCTGTGTGTGCAACTATAGCCGCAAGAAGAATCAACTCTCTCCGCCTCCCTCTTCTCTCCTTTTCACTCCTCCTCTGCCTTACCCAGCACTTACAGCCATCCATGAGTGTAACCAACTCCTCTGCCTATCGATCGGAGCGTAGTTTCCACCAGACTTCATCCTCAACTACGTCCTCTGGTAACCCATACATGGAGAAGAGCCGGGGACTATTTGCTGAGGACTTTGGCTCGTTCATGAGGCCTGGGAGCGACTCCTTGGGTTTTTCCAGTAAGTTGGAAGCAAATTTAAGGTCTCTGGCATTCGTTTTGTAAACAAAAGAGGTAAAAAATTAATAGTAAAAGAGAGCGGAAGGAACAGCTTTGACGGCAAAGATGATTTATGCCCGCTTGAAGGCGATTTGTGTACAGTGGTGTGTTTTTGTTCAAGGAGTGATACTGATAACATATCTTCAGAGGAAGACTATGGTGTGGCTGATCTGTGTGTGGACAGATGTTTCTTTAAGGGAAACTGTAGCCAAGGTGCTGAAAGAATAAACAGAACGGACTCCATTTTTGGACATGTATTTACTCTTTTTTAAAAAGATTTATTAGGAATTTACATATGTGTTTAAAACGGAGGGTTGAGGAGATTTTTTTCTTCACACAGCCTGGTTCATCTACAGGCTCAGTATCTCAGTGTCCACTTGGTGTGAAGTGCTCCGTATCACTTTGCTGCTGGTCCACGCAGACGCGTGTATGTGTGAAATCTGATCTTTAAATGGTCCATGTGCTCCTATGTGTCAGGGGCAGAGCAGCATTGTTTTGGAGCCATGGTTGGTGCTGTAATAGGTGCAGCAGATAAGATGTGAGGTGGGCGCTGCTGAGAAGAAAGCAACGCAATCACACACACACATGCAAGCACACACGGAGTACGTGCAAACCTGGGAATGCTGGACTAACTGCCAACAGTGTGACATCACACACTGAGTATCTGGGATGACGCCTGCATGAGAAATGGCCAGATGGTTGCCCAGTGACCAGTGCGCACACACACACACACACACACACACACACACACACACCACAGTGAGGTGAGGTCACATAATTAAGCTAACCTATACGTGAAGTCAGAGCTAATATCACTCACACACACTCGTTTCCAGTCTGCTGCCGTGTGTGTGAGGTCATGCACCACGCAGGCTTTCAGTGAGCTCAGACTCCACAGGGACAGAGAATAAATCACGCTTTTTTCCTGGACCGACTCACCTATCAGTCCTAGGATATTTAACCGGGACTACAGCTGTGCCTCTTGACAGTTCTTAAAGTCACACCGGGCACGGATTGAATGATTATGTCATGTGGAAGATTCACAGGAGTGACAAAGCCACAAACCATATGTCGGCTGTCGGTTTTCTTGTCTCCAAACTGTTCTCAGAAAACTTTAGTCAGCTGGAAACAAAAAAACAAAAATCAACTTCTGGTTAACTCATCACGCTGCTTATTGAACAACCGAGGAGAGAAAGTCATTAACTCAGCAGCTAAAAAGTCAGATATGTGGTGCAGACCCAAACAGAGCAAAAATGGAAGTGAATATAGAATATGGATGAATGTGGACAGATTAATGATCTGTTTCTTCATGTCTGCTGACTGCCCATAATGTGAGCCAAATTTCAAAACACAGTTAATTTTTACCCCAATTTTTACACCTCGTCAGCTAATCACCATTATTACTCATCATATTTTTTGAGCTTGTATATGAATATGAACAACAAGAGCTTAAAAAAAAGGTTTGGGAATTACAAAAGAAACATACAACAAGGGAGTGTAACTGATTTCTATTCGACTCCTCAAAGCACTTCACACAACACCCATCATTCACAAAAGCACTTTCTGTCTAACAGACAACTTGAGGTTTTAGTATGTTGCCCAAGGGTACTTCAGCATGCAGAGGCCAAGAGTTGGACTACAAACCTACAGCCAACCCAAGCTTATAACACTTGGTATTCCTAATCAGTCTCCCATCCAAGTACTAACCAGGCCCAACGCTGCTTAGCTTTCAAGTTCAGAAGAGGGCATGCTCAGTTTGGTAAGCATGCAGCACAGATTCTAGCTCAGATTCATTTAACCATGGAAAACAGATGATCCTCTGAACTGTAATAATTAAGGTGCTTGTGCATCTTTTGTCTCTACTCAATCCATTAAATCGACAATAAAATCCATGTTTGCCCAGAATGTGTGGAATAGAAGGTGTGTCATGCTGTTGAAGCAAAAGCAGAGATTCTGATCATGTCTAAAAATGGATTTTGGTGAATACACACAACTGCAGATCCCTCACTCAAATGAGTGTGTGTAGCCCATCCTTAATGAAGCACCACCTGCAGGTACTCCAGTGATGAACAGCACACGGTTCTCAGACTGGTGGGTTTATTCACACAGGAAGTATTGAAGATGAAAATCTGTGAACGTTAACTGTGCGAGATATACGTACTTTGCACAGTTAATTGTAGCTTCCCGATTCATCATTTGTGCTCTAACATCCTTTCATCGTCTTGGCCGTGGGTTTAGGTGGAGCTGGAAATATCAAGACTCTTGACGATTCGTACCAGTTCACAGTTGACGTGCGAGATTTCTCCCCTGAAGACATCATCGTCACCACATCCAACAACCAGATAGAAGTCCGTGCGGAAAAGGTGGGTAGGGGCGTGGGAGGTGTTGAAACAAAAGGGGTTAATGTGAGCCAAATAAACCCTAACCAAGCATCCATCTCCACAATACATCGCATGAATCTCTAAAGCTTTCTGTTTTGGCAGTTGGCCCAGGACGGTTCAGTGATGAACACTTTCACCCACAAGTGCCAGCTACCCGAGGACGTGGATCCCACCTCAGTGACATCATCACTGGGCACCGAGGGGACCCTCACGGTCCGGGCACGGCGAAATCCAGCCAAACATGAGCTCGTACAGACCTTCCGCACTGAGATCAAAATCTAGAGACCGTCCGATCCATCAATTCCTGTGATTTCATACCATTTCCTGTGCTTCTTATCCTCACTGTCATCATTCAGTTTTACTTCAAACACTCAAGAGAGCTGACACTGTGCTCTGTGTGACACAATGCCACTCTGTTGCTGCTCATTTATGTATGTGAGTTAGCTCATCCCGCACATACACAACGGGACATACACATTAATTTAAGGAGACACAAGGGCTTGGAGCACCATTTTGCACAAAGATGTAGACACACAACCCATCAGTTAACTTCTCCCCTACCCCTCCCAGTGTTATTCTAAAACTTACCAGTCACTTCTAAAGATGATAAGTTATTGTATAATATTATTTGTGTGAATAAAATGATACTGCTTTGACAATAAACCATCCTGCTCTGTAGAATGCTTTTTATGAACTTCTGATTTTACAAATTATTGACAGGAAATACGAGTTGGCAGTTTAAGAGATTTATTTGTTTATTTATTCGTATTGTTTCAGTTTTGACAGAACTGGAGAAATTTTCTGTGGAAACTTATCACCATCCTTGGTATGACTTGCCTTAAACCACTGTTTTGTTAACCATCCTTGGAATAAAAGTCTGCGTAAACCTTGAGCACCACAAGGCAAACTACCCTTGAAATCAATATGAAACTGATTTCGCATTCAGTAGGTGCACAGAGGTGTATATACAAAGGTGCTTCTATTCAGTCTTTTGTGCGTGGGAGCATTATGAACCATCCTGTCCTCCTTTCAGGAGAATAGGGTTTCAAAGGAGGTATTCTCCAATATAATTTGGAAGTCATTGTTGTTTATAATTTCCTCCACTGTACGTGAGCTATGCAGTGGCTTTTTCCTTAGAAACATACAGGAGGATTACTTTTATCCTTGTATTAATATACTTTTTATATCGCAGAAAAATTTATTTCTCCTTGTTTATTCAGGTTTCCGATGATTTAAGACAAGGACCTCTTCTGATTGTATAAGATAAAGCCTAAAGATATAGCTCATTTTAGCACGCAGGGATTCAGTTTGAAATTTGTGATTATTAAGTTAGACTTAGAGCGTTTATTTACACACTACACGTGCCTGTAATGACAAACTATTCTATTACAAATCCATTTTAGCTCCACTGTGTTATGAAGGTATCAGCTTTGTACATTATGTAACTTGGGTGTATCGCGACACCGCGTGGCCTCTGTCGGCAAAACATTGGTTCCCACTGCGCGTGCTCCAGCGATACATCCGGCCGGTCCCTATCAATCGATCAGAGAGAGGAAGATGGCGTTGGATGGAGTGAGCGGGGTATGATCGATCACCGAAAAACTCGATTGGGTTCGTTTTTCCCAACTGAGCCAAAAACTCCGTAAGACCGCTTGGACCAGCAGTTTCAAGCCCGAGTGAAGACGAGATAACAAGGAGGTAAATCGGAAGTTGGTTTCTGTTAAAATGGCGCTTCTTAAAAAACCGAAAAGAACAGGCTAGCTGTGGAAACAACAAGGGGGGAGGCCGGACTCGCAGCTCCGCCATCTTGTTCCCTCACCACACGCATGTAGGCATGCTAAATTAATCCCTGATAACAAAGCTGCAAGGATTGAGGAATTGCAATCGATATATTGCACTGTCAAACCACGCTGTCAAAACTTGTGGAGAAACTGACGTTCAAGTTAAAAAAAAAAAAAGAAGAAGAGAGAATTAAAAATAGCTGCACAGCCAGCGGGACACGAGATTACGCTTCATCCTTGCGTTAATGTCGTATCTCGTGGTTTAGTTGGCCTTTAGCATCTTTCGCGTTGCATTTCGGATTTAAGCTAGCAGTCATTTTGAGTGGTTGATTTTCAAAACGCCGTTTTTGTCCTTAAAAACACACACACGCAACATGTTTGTGAAGTTTGGTTCATAGGTTGCGTCCCATGGGACAATTGTGAGTCTGGAGGAGATGTCATTATCTAACATTACAACTGAAACGACGTACTTAGACTTTACCAGTGGCAGCGTTGCTATAATTATTATAGTTTTATTACTGTTATTATTAATAATACTTTAGTTTTTATTGGTTTCAGTTTTCATTTTGGTATTGGTTATTACTTATGCCAAATGCCAGAGGCAAAATTTTACCCCATCAACCAGTTTGTGCCAAAATTCTAACAGATTAACACATACCATATTTATTTATGTTTCCTCTGTTATTTTCCAAATTCTTTTAGTTAGTTTACCCCTTTTCATGGTCTAGGTTTTATTTTTATTTATCTAACTAGAATATTTTTCAAAGCTAGTTTTAGCTTTTGTTTAGTTTTAGTTAACTATGATAGCCGTGGTTATAGTCCAAAGGAAGACACAAATTAGTTCGAGGAATACAATTGCTGTTATTAAAACTGCTTGTGAAACAACACATACACAGTTAAAAAACTGATTTAGCTTGTTGGACGCTAACTTTAATACATCTCTGTGCCGATACATTGTAAAAGGGGTAATTGTGAAATTAAAATGAACACAACTTTCCAGTTTTAAATAAGGATAATAAATAATGTAATAGTGTAATGTGACATATAGTCTAGACACAGAATTTATACTTCATTATAGCTCATTATATCTTATTTATGTTGACTTATATTAATTTGTAATGTATAGGTTTAGTTTTAAGGCTGATACATCTATTTTTCTGAAAGCAATCATCCCCTAATATTGACTGACCGCAGTCAGTCAATAATAAAACTACTATGCTGTCGGAGGATGCATAATTATATCAGAGGTGAACAATGCAGACACAGATTTAACCTGACCATCACAGCCTTTTCAAGCTTCCTCGTGCTCCACATTTCATCCGTTTTAACCACAGAGCTTGTCCTTCAGGACGATGGAGTTCCCGTGGCACAGTGGGAAAGTTCTGGAGCAGCTTAACCGGCAGCGCAAGCAGGGCCTGCTGTGTGACTGCACCTTTGTCGTGGACGGTGTGGACTTCAAGGCCCACAAGGCTGTGCTGGCTGCCTGCAGCGTGTACTTCCGCACCCTCTTCCTGGACCAGAAGGATGTGGTACATCTGGACATTAGCAATGCAGCAGGTCGGTCCCCGTCAGGTTATGTGCTCTACCCTATCTCTGCCTCGTCTCTGCTGTCTAACTCAATGTGTTGTTTTGATGAATGTCGTTTCAGGCTTGGGTCAGGTCCTGGATTTTATGTACACTGCAAAGCTGACTTTAAATCTGCAGAATGTAGAAGACGTGCTGTCAGTAGCTCACTTTTTACAGATGCAAGAAATCGTGAATGCGTGTTCTGCGTACCAGTCGTTGTCAAATCCAGCCCCGTCCGTCATAACACTGGATTTTGCTGTTGGTGAGTCGGGTCCTTGGTGAATACTCATGTCTGTACCCTTTTTTTCTTTATTTCAGATAAATTGTCATTGCCCTCAGCTAATCCGTCCATGCCTTGATTCTTCAAATGAATCATCAAGTTGCTTTGTATTAAATTTGTCAACCAATTTTACCATCACTTTTCATAGCATGGTGACAAACGTGTATTTCTGCTGTGTCCATGTTTGGCAGTAGTCCTAACAGATGCTGTTCTACATAAAAAAAGATAAATGAAAAGTAATTAATACATATTTACCCGATTGTTGTTTTGTTGAGCTCATAACATGGTTCTTTATCTGTTCTTATTGGCATTCAGTTTGTTGAAAATGGAACACAGTCGTCATTGATTCTGCATTCTAATGTGTGAAATGTTGCTCCTGATAATTTCGATTTGATTTGATTTTAATTCTGTCTTTAACACACCAGATGAAAAAACAGGTGAAGGAGAGCAGAAAGAGGAAACTGACAGTCAGCTGTCAGATTTGGCATCACAAGCCGAGGAGTGCCCTCGTAGCATTCCCACAGAGGATAAAGAGACCATTCAAAGTCAGGACATTTTAGAGGAAGAGCTTTCTGCCAAAACACAGAAGCCTGTTTCTCAGCCGAAACCCACTAGAACCCACACAGGCCGCGGACGACCACCAAAAACGTCCCACCTTCTGACTCAAAAGAAGACGTCTGTCAAGAACAAGGAAGAAAGTGGCGCATTAGACGCACCCGCCTTCCAGGACGACACCGCTGATGCCGACTACATACTGAGTAAATACATATTCATAGAAAGTCTTTTCAGTTATTTAATTATGATGTATGCTAGCATGTTTAAAGTTTGAAAGGATCCACATGATGCTAGTAGCTTTTTATTTGATGGCATTTGATATCTTGATATATTATTTTATCCATTATTAATGTTTTTAAGAAACGATAGGTTATATAAATAAATACATACATGTTTAAAATCAAGAGTTAAATTCAATGGAAAGAACACAAACGATTGTGATGGCTTAACAAAGAAGTGTTTTCGTTTTTTATTTTATTGTTTTTATTAGAATCACCGTTAAAATCTGCTGGCAGTTCGCCTTATATGAGCTCCCGCGGGAGGAGAATCAGAAAACCACCTCGACGAAACTTCCCACCTGGTGAGCGCTCTGTCCTGAAGGAACTTATGCAATGCCCCTTTCGTTTAAGCTTCCCACTGGACAAACTATGTGCAGAGGCAGGAAAAGCGAAGTCATTTAAAAACACATCTAGATTCAGGTTGATTAGTGCTCGAATGATTATCTGAGTGTTGTTTTCCGCATTTTCACGTTCCGTTTAAAATGCCAGAAATGTGATAAAAACATGTATATTTATTCAGCACCTTTCAAACACGCAGTTATTTCACATTAATCTAATAGGATTTAGAGCATTTGCTTCGTATTAGAATAAACACATTTCTTTAAAGGTTGCAGCAAACCTGCTTCTTGTATTTGTTTCATTGCTGATGGTGCTAGTTGTTGCCCCAGTTGTAGCGGGTATGTCTGGAAGACGCAGTGGGGAACATTAACGTAAGAGTGACCTCTGTCTGATGTAAAGAATGTCATCACTTTAACAGACCGATGAAGCCAGCAATCCCATATCTCAAAAAGTCATTGCTATTTCCCGTCAAAGCTGTAGGCAGTTTGTCATTTTCAGAGCTTTTCTGCTCTTGTTCTCCCAGACAATGACTCAGAGGATGAAGCCCCATCACAGGCAAAAACTGATAATAAGGTGGCAGAGCCAGCAGGGGTGGCTGAAGGGCAGGAAGAACACTCTTTGGAGACCGGCGATGTGGAGGCTGATGATAATGATGATAACGAGGATGGAGAGGAGGATGACGAGATAAGTCAGCAAATGGAAGGAGACAGCCCAAGCAGCGAGAGAGACGGAAGACAAGCTCAGTCAGCGTGCATGAGCAGCCGATCTGAATCAAAGCCTTACAGCTCCGTGACACACAAATGTGAGGTGAGGGATTTGTGGGACGGCCTAAGTTGCGCTGTGCCTGCTTTTCCTGCTCTGGTCTGCAGGCTCTGAAGATATAAATGTCAATGCTGGGAGCTTTCATGAAAAGCTGGGCATCATAGATGCTTTTATGCAAATGTTGGTCACATTTGCATGCATATCTTTGCATTAAAAGGCTTCACGATATATTTTCTTCTTTTTAGGACTGCGGGAAGAAATTCACCCACACGGGCAATTTCAAGAGGCACATGCGTATTCACACTGGAGAGAAGCCCTTCAGCTGCCGGGACTGCAACAAGGCTTTCTCTGACCCCGCAGCTTGTAAAGCCCATGAGAAAACACACAGGTGGATGGCTTTTCCTTTTCATATTCATTTAGTGTATCTTTGCATACTTCTGCAGAGGGCTTAATTAAAGTGAGCTGTCGTTGACTCCTAGCCCCCTGAAGCCGTACTGCTGCTCTACTTGCGGAAAGAGCTACCGTCAGATCAGTCTGCTCAACCTGCATCGCAAACGTCACACAGGGGAAGCGCGGTACAGCTGTGAAGTTTGTGGCAAGCTTTTCACCACTTCGGGCAATCTGAAGCGCCACCAGCTGGTGCACAGCGGCGAGAAGCCATACCACTGCGACTACTGCGAGAAGGCTTTCTCTGACCCCACGGCCAAGATGCGACATCTGGAGACACACGACACAGAGAAGGGCAACAAGTGTCCACACTGCGACAAACGCTTCAACCAGGTACCCTTGGAAAGGTTTGGCTTTTCTGTGGACAAATATAAACACAATGAATGAATAACATGATTCCAGGCAACACTATTTTTAATTGAAAAATCTTAGCTGGATAGTAATATTCACTGTTTGTATATGTATATATATATATAACTCTGCCTCAAACCCCTTGGGAATGATATGTGTGTGTTCCTCAAACTAGGGTCCTCTTCCTGAGGCCCGTGAGTCTTATGAGTCTGGACAGAAGCCTCTGATGATGTGCCTGAAATGTGCTGGTACCACTCTTACAGTTTGGGGGTTACCACTTAGACCACTTTGGACTTTACCTTCCACACCCGCTTTTGCAGCTGGATGTGGGTGAGGGAAGGGAGATAGGAGAAAAACAACACGACTCTCTTTAGAACAACAGGTCAGGGTACAAATCCTCTGCAGGGCATGGATACAGTAAGGTTCCCCAGGCTAGATCCCTAGTTCTATCCAAACTTGCGCCAGAGAGACTTAACTAAAGTCATACTGGCTTGACTGTCACCCTGGTTGAGCGCGC